TCTCTTTCTTGGCCTAATGTTTTTAGAACTGATAAAGGTACTGAGTATTTAGCTGAGTGTAAAGATTTATTATTAAGTCATGGCGTATATTTCGACCCCAAAAAATCTAAAGAAAGCAATGCTATAGCAGAGCGTGATCATCAAGAATTTGAAAAACATGCTTTCATTCGTCAAGATGCCATAGATTTTCATTTACCTATGTCTGATAGGTCTAGAGCATGGGTTAAAAGTCTTCGTATTAATGATAACATTTATAATTGATACTCCTACTCGTTTAATTCATATGTCACCCAATGAAGCTGTAAAAAAAGCTTTAAAAGGTGAAAAAATAATTGCTGATCCATCTGTAAAACATCGTAGACCTATTGGGTTTAATGAACCTCGATTAACTTATAAAGATTCAGTTTTATATTTACTAGAACCTGGTGAGTTAGAATTTGGTAGACATCGCATAACCGACATGAATTGGTCGCCAAAAGTTTATCGTATTAAAGAATCCTTAATACAAAAAAATCAACCAGTATTATACTGGCTTATGGATGAAAATGGCGATGGACCCGAAAGATCATTCGTGAGAGAACAACTAATGAAAGTTGACAATGTTGAGTATCCACCAAAACGGATACTTAATAATAATTAGATTTCTAAACCGTGAATTCTTTGAAGAATATCATCTACTTCTTCCTTGGATCTTTTTTCTACAATCTCTTCTTGACTAGCTAATTCAAGATGTAATTTATATAATTTTCCTAAACTTGTATATACCTCTTCATTATACCAATCTTTAAAATCTGCCATTCTTTCATTATAAGTTTCCTCATTTGGAGCACGCTGTTTCGCTACATATCTTCTGGATCTCTTTTTCGTTGTAAAGTTTTAAGATAGTTCACATATGATGCTCCTAATTTGTCATATTTTTTAATACCTTGACTATATGCTACTTTAATCACTTCAACTAAAGCCGATTCGATGTCTTTATAATTTGGCATTTTGAATATTGTATTTTATTATATGTTACTTAATCAGATCTTTTGTATAAATAAAAAATATTCATTTTACCCATGGCCGGAAAATATACCTGTGATTATATACACAACTCTGGTAAAGTCTGTGGACGTGGATGTCGACGTTCTGAAGGATGTCATGAACATTGGAGGTCTAAAAAACGTGTCCCCTGCAAAGTTTGTGGTAAGCCAACTTCTTCTGCACCTGGAACATGTAAAATTCATGCTGGTGGGTTTTATGTTTTGCAGTTTTATTCTCGCCAGCTTAGCAAGAACACTAGTTGACATAAGTGATTACATTTTTATAGTATTTCGGACTCACGAAGTGAGGAGGCTTCGCCTCTAGCATAACTGGATAACATTTTTCGATAGTATTTATAT